TCAACTCAAATTATTTGGCCACTAGAAAGCAGGCATTTTCAGGTTCATATTTTCATTGCTTTAAATGTCCTAGTTTTAAAAACATTATTTTAAATGTGTATGTGTAGCTTGTGTATATATGTGTGTTTATAATATATATGTATATAATTATTATGAATAATTCTCACTACTTACATACCAGGTATTATGCTACATTCTATCTCCTTTAGTCCTTTGAATATCAAAACAATCCCTGGGGGATTTTTATTCTTCTTTTTGCTGAGGGAAAAAGCTAGGGAGCTAAGCTGTGGTTATTTTAGATAACTTTCTGAAGACCACACAACCAATTGATAGAGCTGGGAATGACACTTAGATTTGTGTGACTTCAAAGCCAATACTTTCTCCAGTACCTTAACTATCTTCTCAGTTAAATAAAAAGTTATATGAAACAAAATACATATAGGATCAAAATATCTGTAAATGAGTCTTTCCCATTCTCTTATATACATGTATACTTACCAAAATTGCTATTTATTTTTGATTTTGCTATCTTCCCTTTAAGGGCTCATCAGATTAGATATTTTTAAAGCTACTGATGTAAGAAAAAAATAAATCAACCACAGTTTCATAGGCACATCTTAGAAAGAACAAATTACACATGAGCTAGTAGGAAAAAAAAATGTCTGTGCTGTATGTTAATGAGAAATGAATGAACGGAAGAATGAAGGGATTGTTTTTCTGTCAAATTTCCTGTGCATGAGGGGTACCTGGGTGGCTCAGATGGTTAAGCATCTGCCTTCAGCTCAGGTCATGATCATTCGGCTTAGGTCATAGTCCCAGGGCCACAGGATGGAGTCCCGGGTCAGGCTCCCTGTTCAGCGTGGAGTCTGCTTGAGATTCTCTCTCCCTCTCCCTCTGCACCACAACCCCCTGACACTCACGCTCTTTAAATAAATAAATACATAAATAAATAAAATCAGTCTTTTTTTTAAAAAGTATATGAATTGGTGGTCAAAAAATTAACTGACCTCGCTAAAGAAATATGCAAGGGCATGGACTAACCACTGCACACACTAAATAAACAACTATGCATTTCTATAGCAGTTAATTCTATTTATAAATAGTCCCAGCACCACTCCCTTGCTTCATATTCTTATGGATAGAAGATAAAGGGAATACATTTTCTACATACAGATCACAGGATCAAATTTAAAATCTGCTTTGTACTTGTGACTCAGAATTGTAATTACCTAAGAGCTGTTTTATAATCTAAGTAAAATTTTATGGTCAATATTCCATCCTGTGTGTGCTTGTGTGTATGTGTTTAAAGCTGTGGGTGTAACCAGCAGTACATGCCTAGTGTGGAAGGATGGTTACGGTGCAAATCTATGGCATCTGACTTACATAATGAAGCAGTATAACAGAAAAACTTCCAACCAGCCTTCTAGGTAAATAGAGAAGAGTCACAGGGCTGCAAGCTGATGTTGCTAATATATACAACATTAATTTATAAAAGAAGGGATTAACTGCTCCAATGACACTGATTTTAATGATAGCTTCAAAGAAAAATGATGAGAACATTGTGTCCTTATAATACAATCACCCCTGATTCCTACTGAATGTAGTCACGGAGGCTATTTATTAGGTTTCTCTCCTCATTTAGGGCAAAGAATTAGTTCTATTAATACTACAATAAATAGTAAAAATTTACATAATTTCTAATGTGAGGAAAACACAAATATGAAATTCACAATTAAGAATATAAGAACTGATAACTCGTTTTTTTTTTTAAAGATTTTATTTATTTATTTGACAGAGAGAGAGATAGCGAGAGCAGGAACACAAGCAGGGGGAGTGGGAGAGGGAAAAGCAGGCTCCCCGCTGAGCAGGGAGCCCGATGCAGGGCTCTATCCCAGGACCCTGGGATCATGACCTGAACCGAAGGCAGCCGCTTAACCGACTGAGACACCCAGGCGCCCCTGATAACTCGTTTTTTTTAATTTTGAATTTAAAGAACATAAGAATTGATAACTAGTAATTTGCATTTTTCTTGAACTCAAAAAAGAAGTGGAAGAAAAGGCTGCTTCACAAGTAAAACATTGATAATGAAATACTTGCCCAGTCTTTACCATATAGTTATTGACCTCTGGTCAGAGAAGACTTGTGGAGTTTTACCAATGGAAATTCAATGGTTAATAATAATGATGATGATAATACTTTAATAATAATAGCAGCAAGAATATTTTAATTATATATTTAATATTTAAATATTATATATTTAATTATAAAATAGGGTACTAATAGTAATATGAACAAAGATAGTAACTAAAATGTTTCAGGTGCTTCCTATGTGCTACCCTTTGTCGTTAAATTTTTGCACCAAACCATGTAAATAGATAGTATTAACACACCATATTAAGGAAATGTTTTCTTGGCAAATCACAGTCAGTGTTTAGTCTTGAAGAATCAGCCATCTGTGTGCCTAGATGGACAGGAACAGGTTCTGGAAAGAGTAGGTGAGCAGCCTGAAAGATTTTGCCATAATGTCTTCCCTCCCTTGAATCATGAACTAAAGATAATTCAGAGGTAAGTTATTGAAGCCGTTAGTCTTTTCAAAACATTTTTGCCGTCAAATTGATAAGACCTTTTTTTTTGGTCTTTATGTTTTTCAAAGTACTTTTGCTACATTGCATCTGTATTTTTTATCTAAATTCCTTGAGGTGACTAAGTATTGCTATCATTACATGGAAGAAAATGTTGCTAAATTAAGAGTCACAGTGTCAGACTGTCTGAATTTATATCCTGACTTGTTCACTTATTAGTTATGTTAATTCAGACAAGTTTTCAACCTCTCTGTAACTCAATTTTTTTGTTATAAAAATAATAATAGTAGCTATACCCCATTACACTGATACGAAGATTAAATGAAGTAATAGGAGTAAGGCGTTTAGAACATAGTAAAATCTCAGTGTATGTCAACTCTCATCAAACCTATTTTACGGGTAAACAACCTGAGGCACAGAGTCTCATGTCATAGAGTCAGCATTAGACTAAGAGTTCATAATCATGACTTTTAGGTTCAACATTATTTGCTCCTCTACTCAGTTGTTCCCATACTTGACTTTTGGATCCTGAGGCAAACCAAAGTATTATTCCAAGGGATCTTTCATTTCATATAAAATGATAATAATAATAGCATCTAATATTTATTGAGCATATACTGTATGTTACGCACTATGCTAAATCTCTTACACAGATTCTCCTTTAATCCTCAAATTTCTATTAGACAGACCTTATTATTTCATCCATTTATAGACAAAGAATGCAAGGTAAAGAATATTTAAGCTGACAAATACTAGTAAGTTTCTGATTTAGAAATCAAATTCAGGCAATGTGGCTTCAAAGCCCAAGGCTTAGCCACTCACGTTCTCCTACTGACTAAAATAAGTAAATGGACAGCATCTCACCACTGGAATTCACCATGTTCAAAAGTCAGACACACTACACTGTTCTCCACTATCCCATCATCAAAGAACCCCAAATTCAATATGGTTCTATAATCCTACATTCCCATTTGTTTATACCACGGCTACCTTAAAGAACCCATTTCTCTACTTCTGGATCATTGAAGATAAACTACCATAGTATACCCAAGAGTAGATTCATTAATTGGAATTATTTTCTTTTATAACTATAATTACAATATCTTCCCTCATTAGAGTGTGAGAATGCTATTCTTTGATTTTAATATTTTATTTTTTGGCATGTATATTTCCAAATTTCATTAAATATGTATAATTTATGTTTCTTCATTTTGTTTTTAGGTTGTAATCTCAAGAAACAATATAAGTACCCATCATATAAACTTTATTTAGTACCTATTTAAATGCAAAATGTATTAGATGGATGATATCTAGTATCCTGATACTAACATTTTATGCCTCATTTCGTAAATTTACATGACTTTTAAAGAAATATAAACAGGTGGTACAGAAATGTAAAGGTAGTAAAGAATATTAACTTAATGTTAAGAAAATCTTCCCCATATTTCTTTCTCCTACTCACACAATTTGCCTTTCCATAGGCAACCATATATTAAATTCTTATTTATCTTTCCAGATATATTTACATGTATATAATATATACATTTATACATGTACATCTCTCCTCCCTCATTTTTAGACTCATATGCCTTGTATGGTAGTGCCAAATTGTTTTCCAAAGAGTTTGCTCCAATTTACTATCATTACTAAATTATAAAGTGCCTATTTTAGTCTTTCCATTGATGCTGGCAGAAGGTTTGCTTTCATGTTTCATGTTTAAAAGGGGTTACCTATTGTATATTCTGGGCATGTTAGTAGGCTGCTCAGCACCAAAGTTAAATGATATAACCCTTAATTTAAAAGAATAAAACCGTGTCCATTAAAAGTTTAGTGATGAGAATAAAATTTTTTTAACAGTTGTCTAAGATCTGAGATAATAAATATATACCCCCCAGGTTTTGGAAGTTCTTGGAAGATAAGTTTTAATCATCACAGAAGGTTAAATTTTAACTTATATTTTTCAGTTGTAGAAAAATCTCAATGACATCAATGGTTTTATTTCTATAAAATCATCATCTCTTGTGGGTAATTGATACGACATTTTAATCAAATCTTTACCCTAAAAGCCTAAAAAGAAAAATCTTAAATGGAAGAGTCTCTGCCAATAACTTTCTGTAATTTTTTTACTTGCTGAAAACCAACTATGTGGCCTACTTTTTCTTTATAAACATTATGCAATATAACTTGTCCAACAATTCTATGAAGTCAATGATACCAATCCGAATTTAAAGACCAAAAAGCTGAAACTCAACAATATTAACTAGCTCCAGGTGAAACAATTAATACGGTATGGTAAATACATGAATAAGTTTCGCACAAGTACTAGTCACAAAATAGACAAAAACATTGTTGAATGAATGGATTAAATACACAATAGATGTATAATCATGCTATAGCTTCCTAAAACAAATGTCTTACCTCAAAGGCAAATGACAAAGAAGGAATGAAAGGCTTCAGATGACCAAATCTACACAACATGAGGAATACCAAGCAACGGAAAGTTTCCAGAACAGCTGCCTTAGGTCTGAAACAAATGTCATTAACACATATTAGCTTTAAAGATGCTCTTCATATGTTTACATGTTATAATTGATATAGTGATACACATTTCTTTTAATTTTCAAGAAATACACAGTATTTTAATATATTTGAAGAGCATGTGCCTCTGAAGCTGTTTGAAAACAGCCATTAAACTAAGAAATAAAATGCATCTTTTTAAAGAAAATCTGTTCTTTATCAATGTATTGCTTAGTTTGAGCTTTGATGAGTTAGGGTGAAGCATACTTTCAACTAATAAATAAAATACTAAACAACTAAATTTCTAGGATTTAAAGTAAACAAGGCTCCTTTCACTCACTCAATACCTTTATACTTCATTCATATAAAAAATGTAAGGAGGACTAATACAGTTAAGGAGGACTAATACAGTTAACCACTCTAAAATCATGAATTGTTGATTTCTGAAATATTGGGAAAATGGATAATATGTGATTATGCGTAATATGATAGGTAGCATAAATATAGACCTTTGTTATTTATTTTGTGATGAATATTTTTGTATAAATGGTATTCTTAAAATTCAAACTCTAAGTTAAATAAGTATGTTTATGTATTTGAAACAGCATTGAATGTCATGTACAGATAAGCATTTATAAATTATCTTGTAATAACAGGAATGAACAGCTACTTTATCAGCTTAAAATAAGCTTCATATATATTCATCTAACATCTGTTGGATAAATATTTTTGTAACAGATAAATAGTATTGTTACAAGTGAGTATTCTAATTAAAATATTCTTGAATTAATGTCATAATACAGATATATTATTTAGTTAATTTAGAATATAGAGGTATGAAGAGAAACATGAAGAAAATCTAAAGTAATATATCTATTTAACTCAAATATTTCTTCTGCATCTACTAATTATGACTGTTTCTTTAAAATTGAATATAACATTTTTATACAAAAAAAGAGAACACTTTTTTCAAGTACTTTAAACTCAGTTAAAACAGGGTAATGGTATATGATTGCATTCAAGTAATGCGACTTATCTTTCTGTGAATAAAATATTAAAAATTTTCACCTTGTCAAATAAGGCTATATAATCAGTATAAGCTAGTTTTTAAAAAAAATCAACATCTGGGTAATTTCCAACAGAAAAAAAAATTCTACTTTAAAACACAATTGATTTTTATTAATTATGTTCTATGCTTTACTTTTTAATATTTTATATTATGAAATGAAATAGACATATAGAGAAATATATAAAACAGAAATATGCAATTTGATGACTTTGAACAAATAAACAACCTTGTAACCACCACTCAATATCAGCACCCCCAGAGGTAGCTCTTACCTCCTCAATATTTCCATCTTCTTTCTACCTGAGAAAGAATCACTATACCCTTTTATGATAAGCATAACCTTTTTCTCCTTTTTAAATTAACATTTTTACCACGTTAGCATAAATTCTTAAAAATTATTGTATTTTTTTCTTTTTATAAATGGGATTATATTGTACACAGTTTTTTGTACCTAGCATCTTTCATTTAGTGTTGTTAATGAGATACACTTATGATGTTGCATGTAGCAGCAGTTCATTCTTTTCACTCTTGTAGAGCATTCCATTGTGTAAATGTACCAGTATACATGCATCCACTCACCTCGTAAAGGACATTTGGATGGTTGGTAGCATTTGTTTATTATGAAAAATGCTGTCCAAACATTCTTTTACATGTCTTTGGACTACCAGGTAATATGGTATATGTGTCCAAATATAGTAAAATTTTCAATCTTTCAAATTAGGTATCACAATATAAATTCTCCCTTCAGTGTGTGAGCATTTCATCAATAGAGCTTGTCAATACTTTTAGTCATTTGGGATAAAAGGTGTTTGCTACTCACAAAATTTGCAAATAGCATTTTCTATCTGAAGGTTTTATATTTTACTATCTTAATGAGAGTTAATTATTGAAGAATTGATTTTCTTAATGTTATTATAGTCTAATTAATTTTATCTTTATGATTAGGGATTTTTGTGTACCATTTAATATTTTTACCTACTCTAAGGTTATAGAGATATGTTACTATGCTATTTGCTGGAATCTATATTAGCTTTCCATTCACTTTTAAATCTACAAGCCCTTGACCCCAGAATTAACTTTTTATGGTGTGAAATATTTGTCAAGTTAATTTTTCTTATTCCTATGTGGAAATCAAACGTTTCCAAGACCATTTATTGAAAAGACAGCCTTCTCCCACAGCTCTGCAGGGACACCTTTGTCACAAATCAAGTATATACATATATATATATATATATATATATGCATAGATCTGTTTCTAGGTTCTCTGTTCTAATCTTTGTGCCAATAAAGCATGTCTAATTACTGTAGCTTTATAATAAATCTTGACAGCCAGTGGAGCAACTACTGCCATTTTTTTTTTAACCTCAAGACTGTGTTGGCTATTATAGGTCCTTTGCATTTCCATATACATATATCTTGGAAAGAGGCTGCCAAATTCCAGGAAGAAATCTTTTACAATTTTAATTCCAATTGTATTAAATTTGTAAATCAATTTGGTGAGAAATTATAATCTTTATAATACTAAGCTTTCTAATCTATGAATATAGTTCTCTCTCCATTTATTTAGTTTTTTAGTTATTTTTCATAATATTTCAATAGTTTGACAGTGTTTTTGTTTTTGTTTTTTAAAGATTTTATTTATTTGACAGAGACACAGTGAGAGAGGGAACACAAGCCGGGGGAGTGGGAGAGGGAGAAGTAGGCTCCCCACCGGGCAGGGACCGGATGCGGGGCTCGATCCCAGGACCCTGGGATCATAACCTGAGCCAAAGACAGACGCTTAACAACTGAGCCACCCAGGCGCCCCAGTTTGATAGTGTTTTAAAGAGATTTTTCCTCATTTCTTTTAAGTTTTTATTTTAGTTTCATTTAGTTAACATACAGTGTTGTATTAATTTCATGGGTACGATGTCATGATTTGACAATTCCATACATCACTTGGGGATCGTCACAAGTGCGCTCCTTAATCTCCATCACCTATTTCACCCATCTCCCCTCCCCTCTGGTAACCATCTGTTGTTCTCTATAGTTAAGAGTCTGTTTCTTGGTTTAACTCTCTTCCTCTCTCTTTTTTTCCCTTTGCTCATTTGTTTTGTTTCTTATTCCACACAAGAGTGAAATTATATGGTATTTGTCTTTCTATGATTGACTTATTTCACTTAGCATTATATTCTCTAGCTCCATCCATGTCATTGCAAAAGCAAGATTTCATTCTTTTTTATGGCAGAGTATCATTCCACTACATATATATATGTGTGTGTATATATAGACACAATATAACATAGTGATATATTATACATTATACACACACAACATAGTGATATATTATACATCATATATAAACTACATATTATAAATTTTATATATATATATATATATACCTCATTTTCCTTATCCATTCATCAATCAATGGACACTTCTTGAGCTGCTTCCATATCTTGGCTGTTGTAAATAATACTGCTATAAACATAAGGGTGCATGTATCTCTCTAAATTAGTGTTTTTGTATTCTTTGGTTAAATACCTAGTAGTGCAATGACTGTTTTTCACAGTGGCAGCACCAGTTTGCATTCCCATTAACAACGCAGGAGGGTTCCTTTTTCTTACATCCTCATCAACACCTGTTGTTTCTTGTATTGTTGATTTTAGCCATTCTGAGAGGTTTGAGGTGGTATCACATTGTAGTTTTGATTTGCATTTCCCTGATTATAAGTGATGATAAGCATCTTTTCATGTGTCTGTTGGCTATCTGGATGTTTTTGGAGAAATATCTGTTCATGTCTTCTGCCCATTTTTTAATTGGATTCTTTGTTTCTTGGGTGCTGAGTTTTATAAGTTCTTTATGTATTGGATATATCATTTGCAAATACATTCTCCCATTCCATAATGTGACTTTTAGTTTTGTTAATTATTTGTGTAGAGAAGCTTTTTATTTTGATGTAGTCCTAACAGTTTACTTTTGTTATTATTTCCCTTGCTTCAAGGGACATAGCTAGAAAAAAGTTGCTATGGCCGATGTCAGAGAAGTTACTACCTGAGTTCTCTTCCAGGATTTTTATAGTTTCAGGTCTTGCATTTAGGTTTTTAATCTATTTTGAATTTGTTTTTGGTGTATGGTGTAAGAGAGTGATCCCAGTTCCATTCTTTTGCACGTAGCTGACCGGTTTTTCCACCACCATCTATTGAAGAGACAGACTGTTTTTTTTCCCATTGGATATTCTTTCATGCTTTGTTGAAGATTAACTGACCATATAATTGTGGACTTATTTCTGGGGTTTCTATTCTGTTCTATTGATTTATGTGTCTACTTTTGTGCCAGTACCATACTGTTTAGATCACTAAAGCTTTGTAATATAACATGAAGTCCAGAATTGTGATGCCCCCAGCTTTGCTTTTCAAGAGTGCTTTGGCTATTCAAGGTTTTTTGTGGCTCCATATACATTTTAGGATTTTTTGTTCTAGTTCTTAAAAAAAAAAAAAAAACCTCTTGATATTTTGATAGGGATTGCAGTGAATGTGTAGACTATTTTGAGTAGACATCTTACCAATATTTGTTCTTCCAATCCATGAGCATAGAATATCTTTCCATTTCTTTGTGTTGTCTTCAATTCCTTTCAACGGTTTTTTACAGTTTTCACAATACAGGTCTCTCACCTCTTTGGTTAGGTTTATTCCTAGGTACTTTATTATTTTTGATGCAATTGTAAATGGAAATGTTTTCTTAATTTCTCTTCCTGCTGCTTCATTATTGGTGTATAGAAATGCAACAGATTTCTGTATATTGATTTTATATCCTGTGACTTTACTGAATTTGTTTATCAGTTCTAGAAGTTTTTTGGTGGAGTCTAGAGTTTTCTATATAGCATATCACATCATCTGCAAATAGTGAAACTTTTACTTCTTCCTTACCAATTTGGATGCCTTTTATTTCTTTTTGTT